TGATACAGAGTTGTTTCTGACAAGGGAGCAAACGAACAAGCAGTAATGAATTGTTAAGTTTAAGTCATCGCTTTGTCAAAACCGTTATCATTTCTACTCCACTATACGATATAGATATTCAACTTCAATTTATGTAAATGGTCTATACCTATTATATCATATGCTAATGACCATAAGATGTGCGTACACATCAACGGGACAGCAACCCTCTACAAAATAACAAAATGCGAATAAATCAAACACAAATTATGAAAGATCTTCCATCAACACCAAATTATCCCCCCCCCCCCACAAAAAAAAACCAAAAAAACAACCAAATACATTAAGGTTTGACTTCAGACAACCACTGAGAGGTTACCATACTTAGGACAGACATATGCATAATAGTATGTCGACGAATTTCACGAGCTTTTAATGAGATCTCAACCCTCTACCTTTTAATGAGATCTCAAACCTCCACCTTTTAATGAGATCTCAACTCTCCGCCTTTTAGTGAAATCTCAACCCTCCGCCTTTTAATCTCGATTCATTAAAAATGCATATAATGAACTTATTTCAGGTACATAACAGTACATACAACAACATTCAGGTACAGTAGAAAAACAAAGCAAAATACAGAAATAAAATTCTTAATAAAAAAAATACTATTTCGTGTCAAAGAATGTTTTAAGTTACTATAAGCAAGCTCAAATTTCTCTATAAAAATAACAAAAAGGTGGTTATAAATGCCAACTTTCTACCAGAGTTCAAATGACGAAGAAAGAAGCAGTTATAGGTCGCCGTACGGTCTTCAACAATGGTAAAAACCCATACATGAAAAATGCGAAACAGTTCCAAACGTAAAAACTTACGGCCTAATGTATACCCTTCCGGAGCACCTGATATCACTCCCATTTTTTGGTGGGGTTCGTGTCGCTCAGTCTTTAGTTTTCTATGTTGGGTTTTGTGTACTGTTGTTTGTCTGTTGGCTTTTCCTTTTTTTAGCCATGGCGTTGTCAGTTTATTTTCGACTTGAGTTTTATAGCAATACAATTTACTCATGACTTATAAAGTATGTTGCTGCGATAAACATGTCTGTATGCGCTCCATTCACCACCACCCCTTTTCCACCAACCTGAGACAGTGGCCGATATAAGACACATAGCACTCGCAGTTATTGTAAGATAGTTCAAAGCCAATTACATCTACATGTATTTAATAAATTATGTTCATAAAACACAATCAATACACAGAAGCAACGCATGTTGTATAAAGACGTCATACACAGTCGGAGAAACGCATGACTTTGTGCAAAGCCAAAATATAAGTAAACAGTATAGATAGGATGTAGGATCATGAGTACTAATAACTGTACATATATAGAAATATATATATTTAGTTATGTTTCATTTTTTCAAAAAACAAAATCTATGTTAGAGCCGATAACAACAATTGCCGGTGATAGAAAACCATGACGTCACTGAAAATAGAAAATACTTGTGATAGATCATTGATATTAAATATAAAATTGCATTTCATATCGGTACATATCAGTTTGACGACTATTTCGAGGCCCTCCCCTAGGTCATGGTCCAGTGATTTTGAATTAATTAGCAATTTTCAATGTTATGTTTTCTGCGTAAGTCAATTTGATAAGAACTACTTGTGTTAGATCAAAGATTTTTTGTATAAAGGTGCATTACTATCATTACATATGCCGACAGTGGAGACATATCTCTGTGTCAACAGTTTATTGTTAAATGAGTTGTTTTGTGTTTCTGAAAGAAAACGGAACCTGACATTCCATTCGACACTGTGTCATTGGTGATGTCGAGGTCGTCCCAGTCAGTATTCATGCTAATCGTCATAACTGAAATAAAATAATAAAAAGGAAAATTACATTTTTGCAACAATTTCGTCTTTCAGCAACTTTTACCAAGAACGTTTTTATCATAAAATGTATACACCGATATTTTAGTGTGAAAGACATTCAAACTTGATTTGAATACATACTGTACTAGAATATAATAATTTTATCATTACGAAAAGAAAATTACATCACAATCTTTACGTTTATTATTATGTTAAGAACTTTAGGAAATATCGTTGTTATCTAATATTAGATCATGAATCAACAGAAATGATCAGCACCAATACTTTAGTCACACAAATTAACGCGACAGAAAACTGCGTGGCATTCATAGAACATTTTGTTTGTAGTAAACAATCCGAAGGCGGAACCAGACTGAGTTATCAGCAATGTCAGGTGAACGGGGAACTACATGCGATATATTCTATTTTAACGAGATTAAGATCGATGCCTTATTCTTCAACAACCCATATAGAAACATACAGGAAAAAAAGACAGAGACCATATTTTGTAATTTCAGTAAACGATTCGTTTTAAATGGAAAATGTTAATGTTGGATGTTATAAGAATTGTTCATGTTTTCATTTTAAGTAGTCAAACAACAATCAGGACAATTGGACCATATGGAGGAAAAAGAATTAAAAGTACAAATCTATAATACTAGTAGCATCTTTGTGTGGAGAGAAAATTCAATGGACAAGATTGGATGTCGCTTAATAAATTTTTTGTTAAATCTTTTAAAACAAAACATATCAGAGAATACTTGCAGTGAAAGAAAATGAGTTCTTAGTACATCGCTGCTAGTATGCAAATTATACAATGTATTTATCGGCGGTAAATAGATTGAAAACTGCAATGTTATTTTCAATTAAACTATGCAAGCAAGTACATAACAGTCCGAATATTATCTAAAAGCACGACAGAATAGTGTGGATAGCTATAATTATATTCCTGAATGATGGAAGAACGAAGTTTTTATCAATAATGAGTCATGGTCACTAAATGGTGGATATATGAAAAGAATAAATTACGAAACTTGCAATACAAGCCGTATAAGCTTGCTCCATGGGAAAACAAATGATATAAAAATATCCAATTCCCAACTTTGTCTAATTTGATTTGACGTGAAGAACTGTACAATGTAAATTTCATTCAATTCGTTCAATTTTCAGAAGTTGGATTGCTTTCTCATCTTCTGCGACCTTTTTTTCATTCGCTCCTTAAAAGTGTGGTAATTTGTCTTTTAAATAATTACAGTTAATTTATTCTACGAAAGAAGGATGCAATACAAATTGACAAATGAACTTTTATATAATATAATTTATAACGCGTGAGTTATCCCGGATTTTGATACAGATGATTCCAAGAATTTTAACATGATAGGTATAATTAATCAAGTTGCTTGTTTTTTTTTAATTTTAACAATGTGGGAATGATTTGAATTTTAACATGGTAGGAGTAATTGAATTTTAGCATTGTAGGAATGAAGCTACTAGTTTATTCGATGCGATTTTTAGTATGGTAGGTATAATTAATTCAGTTGCTAGTTTATTTGATGAAATTTGTGAAGCTCCTACATTTAATATATGCTTTGAACACATATATATCTTTTAATTGTAATTCTTCGTCAATAAAAATAAATAAATTAATACTTAATGGCAATTAAGCTGCGAAGATTTAAAGTATATGACAACCAATAACATTGGTGAGTACACACAAGATTCGCATTCCGATCTAATAATTCAGTGAATCTCGAAGCCAAAATATTCAGGATCCCAAAACAATAGACAAAGGGTGCAGAATTGAAACCACCGAAAAGACGACAAAGTTATAACGAGTAAAATGATTGAACTCTTCCAGTTACACGATTTAATCAAATGCAGATTAATGTTAGTAAAATTTAATATGGAATTATTTACATTTTTTAAGTTAACTTTTAAAAGAATTCCCGCAATCGGTGTCTTTAAGACGTTTGATATTCATGTATTTAATGGTTTGTCAACAGTGTCAGATTCCCTACTGTATATGTGCAATATGACGGTGAAACAAGGCGATTCCCCTCAAAATATTATCTCGAATCCATGTGCGAGAAACAACAAAATACCTCCCTCTGTTGATAACTCTGTTTTGCTGACCATTAGGAAATACAAAAGGATTTGATTTAATTACTTGACAGAATAGAAATCAACATTGTATATACATGTATATTTAAACAGTCATACTTGCAAATATGTTTTTTATTTGTTAGCAATCACATTGTAAAGACGCCCTCCAACAATAATAAATAAGTCCCGCTGCTCTCCTTCCAGTGCGAAGAAAACTGCGAACGATTCTTGCACTGCGTAACCATACAGATACATATACAGAAGTGGTTACACGCAGATAATACGACATTATGGGTTTGTGTTCGTTTCAAACATGCCGATTCCGTGTTACAGTTCTACTGTGTATACTATTTATTCATCAGGTGATGACTGAAAACACAAACAAGATCCAATCAGCAAATAAATCACCTCAACTGTCAGGTTATGTACTGAATAATATTTCTTTTTCTATCTTACAACCATGGCAACAGTTTTGTTATATAAATGAGTTACCAAAACAAGACAAACCCGGTGAATACTATATTGAGATTATCTGTAATGTCAACAGCAATGTTTTAAACTTTCTTGATTTTCGTCGCTTCACATCAAGAATTCAAGAAAATATTTTATTTTCCGTTGTAATAACGTGTGGCCATAATGGAAGCGTTTTCTTTCCATACCCTGGCAGAGCACGTCTCCTCCATTCATTACGAATCTCAAATTGTGTTTTGAATGGATTTACATCCGAAGCAACATCTGATGTCATTGATTCAATACCGGATCGCATGAAATATTTCACTTTAATCAATTCAGTGATATTTTTGTCTCAAAATGATTTTAGACAGTTTCAGAGAGCAAAACATTTGACTAAAGCTTTTCAATGCGGTAATGTAAACGCTGTAAAAATAATTGAATACAACATTTCTTGCTGGATTGGTAATGCGAGTAAACGTGCGAGATTAGAAACCTATCAAACGCGACCTGATTTCCATGACCGCACCTGCACCTATAAATATCTTCGACATTTGCAGAAAAGTTTTTCAATAATACAACCGTTTACTCGGCAGATTGATAAATCTATGTATCCTAATATTGAAATGCTCAACTTTAGTGCAGCCAGTATAATAGAAACACCAAAACATGTTCAGGATTGGAGACTAGAATCAAAAGATTTGAAATATTTAGATCTCAGTCACAACTTAATAGAAGATGTGTTTCCTATAATTTGTTATGATAGATACAACGATGATTCAACTGAAGGATTTGTAGATTTACGTTATAATAACATATCATCTCTCAGACTACATGGAGTAACGAGATGGTTTAGTGAAATTTGTGATAACCTAACGGTTGATATTCGAAATAATCCATTTTTGTGTGATTGTGGCGTAAAGCATTTTAAAGACCTTTTACAAAAATACGTTGGAAATCATATAGCATCTTCTTCTTGGTATATGCTTAGGCGAAAACAGATTTTTTCTCGTTATAAATATCTGTATGATCTTACATGCTACAATCCGCCTTCACTGCGTGGGAGAATAATTTCTAAACTATCACTAAGTGAAATCGGGTGCAAGCCCAAATTACGAATAGTAACAAATGTTCCGACAGGGCCAATTATAGTAGTGATGTTTGTTAGTTTTTTTCTTTCTGTATGTCTTTTTGTTGGTATCAGATATCGAGAACAAATAGCTGTTAGCTGTAGTATGTGGCTAAAGTAAGTTCTAACTGTCGATCATAATATAATTACACGGTTGCTAAGAATACAAATGTGAATGAAATTAATTGAACTGATCAGACTTATGATCTTCTAATGGTTGGATTCCACAGCTTTTAATCTTATATCACTATCACAGCAGTTACTGTAATGATAAACACATCGACATTCATTCTTTTCACTATCACAGCAGTTACTGTAATGATAAACACATCGACATTCATTGTTTTCACTATCACAGCAGTTACTGTAATAATAAACACATCGACGTTCATTGGTTTCACTATCACAGCAGTTAAAGTAATAATAAACACATCGACGTTCATTGTTTTCACTATCACTGCAGTTACTGTAATAATAAACACATCGACATTCACTATTTTCACTATCACAGCAGTTACTGTAATACTAAACACAACGACATTCATTGTTTTCACTATCACAGCAGTTACTGTAGTAATAAACACATCGACATTCATTGTTTTCACTATCACAGCAATTACTGTAATAATAAACACATCGACGTTCATTGTTTTCACTATCACAGCAGTTACTGTAATAATAAACACATCGACGTTCATTGTTTTCACTATCACAGCAGTTAAAGTAATAATAAACACATCGACGTTCACTGTTTTCACTATCACAGCAGTTACTTTAATACTTAACATATCGACATTCACTGTTTTCACTATCAGAGCAGTTACTGTAATAATAAACACATCGACGTTCATTGTTTTCACTATCACAGCAGTTACTGTAATAATAAACACATCGAAATTCACTGTTGTCACTATCACAACAGTTAAGTAATAATAAACACATTGACATTCACTATTTTCACTATCACAGCAGTTACTGTAATAATAAACACATCGATATTCATTGTTTTCACTATCACAGCAGTTACTGTAATAATAAACACATCGACATTCATTGTTTTCACTATCACAGCAATTACTGTAATAATAAACACGTCGACGTTCATTGTTTTCACTATCACAGCAGTTACTGTAATAATAAACACGTCGACGTTCATTGTTTTCACTATCACAGCAGTTAAAAAAATAATAAACACATCGACATTCATTGTTTTCACTATCACAGCAGTTACTTTAATAATTAACACATCGACATTCACTGTTTTCACTATCACAGCAGTTACTGTAATAATAAACACATCGACATTCATTGTTTTCACTATCACAGCAGTTACTGTAATAATAAACACATCGACATTCACTGTTTTCACTATCGCAGCAGTTACTGTAATAATAAACACATTGACATTCATTGTTTTCACTATCACAAACACATCGACATTCATTGTTTTCACTATCATAGCAGTTACTGTAATAATAAACACATCGACATTCATTGTTTTCACTATCGAAGCAGTTACTGTAATAATATACACATCGCCATTCATTGTTTTCACTATCACAGCAGTTACTGTAATAATAAACACATCGACATTCACTGTTTTTACTGTCACAGCAGTTACTGTAATAATGAACACATCGACATTCACTGTTTTCACTATCACAGCAGTTACTGTATAATAAACACATCGACATTCATTGTTTTTACTATCACAGCAATTACTGTAATAATAAACACATCGACATTCATTGTTTTCACCGAATAGTCGATCTTATATGTATACCACATAGCCAACAATGGCATGTCTTACCTAGTTTTGAATGCATTTGTTATCTCTGGTACAATCATTTATTTTACAAAGACAAATACATTATCGAAACCCTGTACTCATGTGTCCCTGGGCTATATATTACACATATAACACAATCCACATCACAGCTATCATGCATGATTACAAAAATGTAACTCGAAATGCGTGCTTTGAACGAGTTGTAATTTCTTTTTTTGTTTTTTTTTTGTGATTTTTTATGTTATCTAAAAAAAAACTCCAAGCATTGAGATACATAGATATAAACATTATATATAATATAAGTATTAATATGAAATTTTGTTCGATAGCTGTCTAAAGCTAAAATGTTTACATTTCTTTGTTAATAACAATATAAAAATAAAGAGATGTGGTATGATTGCCAATGAGACAACTATTCATTGAAGTTCAAATGAAGTGGATGTAAGCAATTATTGGCAACCGTACGACCTTCAAAAATGAGAAAAACCCATACCGTGTTTTCGAATATAAAAGGCCCCGACATGAAACATATGAAACAATTCAATTGAAAAAACTAACAGCCTAATTTATAAAAAAAATCATTTACGAAAAACAAATGTGACAGACATGAACCAACGACAACAACTGAACTACAGGCTCCTGATCTTGAGACAGGCACATAAAGAATGTAGCGTGGTTAAACATGTGTGTGTGCGCTCAACCCTCCGCAACCAAGATTGCTCCGCTGTAGCGAAATGTCTCCTAGCTGCCGCTGTGTAAGTGAGGGAAGACATGTACAGTATATATAGAGTTGTATAACAGTAACATAAATTATATTATAAAATGTATTTAGGGCTTTTGTATTTGTTGTTGTTATTCAATAGGCACACATGGTGTAGTTGTGGTACAATAAACGAAATAACTACTCCCGTGAAAATGATCGAATCAAAGTTATTGTACAATGTGGCAAACTAGATATGACGGAAGTCAGTCTGACCAAGTATGAAAGCTTTCTGAAGAACAATATGAGAGGATTGGGTCCAAGAGGTGTCATAGTGGTACGATAGTCCAAACACGGTACAAGTCCCATGAATCTTGTAAAATGGTTAAATAAAGTGGAGAGTAAAACGGTCAACTACACAAAGAAGGATCCTACAAGTCTAAATGCTTTCTGTAAAACGCCATCAGTGTTACCAATTAAACTTATCACAGATGCCAGGATTAAAATTGTATACGCCAGATGCGCGTTTCGTCTACAAAAGACTCAATGATATGATCATAATTATAAATTAACTGCTTACAAAACTTATATTTTTTTCGAAATACTAAGCATTTTCTACTCCAGGAATAGATTGCCTTAGAAGAGAGGCGAAAGATACCAGAGGGACATTCAAACTCATAAATCGAAAATAAACTGACGACACTATGGCTAAAAAAGAAAAAGACAAACAGACAAACAATAGTACACAAAATACAACATAGACTAAGCAACACGAACCCCACCAATCACTTAGCTGTGTTTGGCAAAACTGTTCGAAATTTAGGTCCTCAATGCTCCTCAACTTCGTACTTTATTTTCCCTTTAAAACTTTTTTTTGATTTGAGCGTGATGTCACGCTCTGAAATTACATAATAAAGTATTAGACACAACGAATAAAAATTACGTTACACTTGTAAGATTGACCAAGTTATAGGGATATCAGATGCTATATTAGAATTGATTTGGTTAATTAAATGCTGCATGTAACAATTTCCACTTCTATTCTATTTTAACTTTATGTGCAGGAGTTAAGAAACATACAGAGTATTTTTCTATAATTTTGTATCCAATATTTCAAATATTCTATCCCACCATATTTTGTGGGCAAAATGTTCTTACATCTACACTTGTATATATAGTATATAAATAGCAACACAGTATTATTTACTGTTTTACTGCTATCAAAAACCTCAGACAAACCAAAAATGATTTCTTTTTGTGCTTAAAGGTAGGAAATGACATATTAATCCAGTCTATCATGGATACCCAGAAATTTTGAACAACATTACATTCCCAAAAAGTAAAATATATTTCTCTGAAATCTGAACAAAAAATAAGTAGTTCATTTTTTTTTTATTTGCATCTATATAAAAGCGAATTACATGATAGAATCCTATGAACAATCCTAGAATGGAAACTTCTGGTTATTATAAAAGGCATGTAGTAAATAGTATTCCAATCTTCAATCTGCTTATATATTTCCCATTTATTACGGGAAGATAAAGCCAATTCTTTATCATCTTTCAAAAATATTTTTTTTAGCATTATCTACCAATTTATTTTCCAACACAATTCTACCTTCTATCATAATTTTCAATCTATTTAAGGAATGATTGTAATATTTTTTCTAGAAATAACATCAAAATGTGATGCACACTGAATAACCCGCGTAGCTTGTTATCTAAAAGTGTCCACCACATTTTTAAGGTTACTTCGAATAGACAGAAAAACTATTACAGTTTAAACTATTCATTCCTTATAATCTAATTCTAAATTCAATTTTTAAGGAGTAAATTATGAAAAAACATTAATGACGTCACGGTCACATGACAAAATTATGTCTATGAGCTGATAGACAAAAAACCTTTCAGCCAATCAGAAGACGTGTTACATCCAAAATTAAATTATTTGGAATTGCACTAATAATACCATAAAACTCCACAAAATTATTATTGATTTTATACTTTCTTGAAAATTCCTCTTATGAAAATAATGTATTATTTTCTGACACCTGATCATTATTAACAAATACACACTTTCTGAAATACTTGACCTTCAAGATGATCTTGCCATCTTGCTTTATAAAAATTGTAAATCCGAAACATCCAACCTTTTCATATGACTTCATAAATATGTCAAAGGGTATATATCATATGTAAATGTACGACAATTGTGTGTGAATATTTTACTAGACTGGCATATGAAGCGATTTTAATGAGCTAGTTCAACGGTTATTTGTTTTCTTTCAATTGTTTTATATATACGCGAAGTTTCGAATCTTTGATCGATGGAAGAACAAATCATATTTTAAACATCAGCCGTTCTTATTCGTAACCTCTATTGGTCGTTTTTAGTTCAAGTACACTCAGGTTTGAAATCGCTTTTCTGAGAACTTGCTCTTGCACACACTATTAATAACATTAACGGTATCAATTTTACTGTACCAGATGCACATGTCGACAGTTATTGTCTTTTCAGTGATGGACGAGGCCATACTATTTGAAATCCAAAACTTAATACAAACGTTGAACAGCTGATAAAACGGTCTTTGTTACTTCTATATAATAGAGAGTTGATAAAAATCATCACGTTTGTCTCCGAACCTAGTTTGAAGTCATCATCAGTGCACTTTTTTGAAATGTTTGAAATAGGAAGAAAAACAACTTCCACTTGTATCTCTGATTCCAGGTACAGAGGGCACTAGTCTTTAAAATGGTATATTGGTGACAAGAAAACTGTACCTGTATTTTAAATTTTTTTTTTCTTATAAATGAAACTGTGTATAAATAGGAGCAGTCTACGATATATGATTTTACGATGGGGTATAGAAGTGTTCTGTGTAGAGAAGTCGAAAGTTTTGATATTTTGTAAGGTTATTAATGGCCATTTTTGGCCCAATCTCAAAACTTTCACTTTTTAGGGATTTTCTGGTGGAGAGAATAATTAAACATCATTGAAATGATAATAATGATAGCAAAATAAGGAGATGCGGTATTACTGCCAATGAGACAACTCTCACCAGAGAACAAATGACATAGACGTTAACAACTATAGGTCACCATACGGTCTTCAACAATGAGCAAAAACCATACCACATAGTAAACTATAAAAGGCATCGAAATAACAAATGTTAAACAATTCATGTATATGCATTTATTGTATAACAATACATTTATGGATACGAAAGTTATGAAATAACAGAAAAATGCTTTTAGATGTCATTTTTATTAAACAAAAATCATAAAAAGAAACAAAAAATGAGGATTTCTTGGATTTTTATGATGCGTTTCTTGTATACCATTACAGTTAATAAACAATACCAAACTTACCAAATAACAGAAAAATGCATTCAGAGGATAGAGACCACATGTAACCATGTTGTTGGGTTTTTTTTTAGTTTTTGTAATGCCCCCACCTCTAGACGAAAAGGGCGTAAAGTGTTACCCTTGACCGTCCGTCCTTTCGTCTATCCGTTCTTCAGTCCGTCTAAAAAGTATTTTCACACATTATAAGCAAGCTTGATCGTGGACATTCGTGTCCTCAGACACGTTCTTCTTTTGGGTTTTAGAGAATAAAATATTGTATTGTGTTGTATTTTGGATAAAAATCATAAAACTCTAAAAAAAAATAAGGATTTCTGGAAAATAAAGAAAAAAGCAAAATAATAATAACATGAATGGGTATGTATGGAGTGTAAAAGAAAATTAATGAAAAATTAAAAAATATATCATTAATGAAAATATTGTAACAATGAATTTAAATGTAACAATACTAAAGTTTGTTTTTTTCAATGTGGTGTATGGTCAACACATTTCGGCGAAACCCAGGTTGAGAATGTTTATTCGAGGGGTAAAAATCTGCTCTATCACCCTCTCATCTATGTGTTATTTAATTTATTAAACTGATTGTATCAAATGAGATTAAATGACAAAAACGGTAACAAGTAACAAAAAAGATGACCGTACACCTTTCAGCAATTGGTTAACTATATATTGAGCTAAGGGTACTTTGCTTACATTGATTAAAGATACGATCTTTTTATTTACAATGCTGCTACCAGGTACTACTACGAAACAATTAACGCTGAACATTCTGGAAAGGAAATGTACAGATTTGAATTATAGGTGAAATATGTGGAGTAAACTTGTTAGACAGCAACCCAACGTCATAAACAACCAAAAAGACATCTAGAGATTGACAAACGGTCTTTAATAATAAACAATTATTTTAATAAAATAACAAGCTATAAATCGTTATATCGCGTTTGAAAAAGTGGTGAATAAGATAAAAACAGTAGTTCAAAGATCTGCCATCAATCCAGAACTCTACAGATAACAGAAATCATTCAGATATCACAAAAGACAAACACTGACACTGATGAACAAAATCGATCGTGTGGCGAGTTTAGACTATTTTTTTCGCTCCTACTTTTTAATTTAAAAATATGCACGAAAAAAAGGTACATCAATAAACATAAGTTAACATCTGTACAAGAAATGCAATTTCATTAAACATCACGGTATAATAAATATGCAAAACAACAATACACGTAAACTCTATGGGGTAATAACACTGTTCCCTATGAGCCAGGTGCCAACGCATCTTGAGCCCGGATCCATAATGACGAAGGTGGAAAACCTATCATTGGAGCCTAGAGCCTATTTAGTAAAGCCCGGTTCCTTGTCAGTGGAGCCCGGGGCCAAACAAAATTGTTTAAAGGATTCCGGTGCCGATAATGTGGAACCTAGATCCCAGAGATAAAATAAAGATGGAACCCAGAGCTTAGAGCCTTTGGTATCCCCCAACTTTATGATCACATTTGAATTAACTTACTGCAAACTGAAAAGACATCACTTGTACATTTTTTGTTATTTATTGTTTTACTAATAACATATAGACGGATAGATTGAAAACCTTCTCCTTGATATTTACGTCAAAAGAGAATAATACAGCATTGTGCTTTTCTGATATTTTCTTCTTTTGTTTTGATAGAGAATGTAGGTGTGATGGTTAGATTACACAGGGTATTGTTTAATTTTTAAATAAAGATATTATATTAAAGACACCTTTCAAACTTGAAAATACATATCTATCATGCAAGGTGTTTTAATTATTCATACAACGTATTTTCCATTTTATTTATGTTTGAGTGATTGATGAACAGTCTTCATTCATTCACTCATAGCATGTGGCTCCAATTACTGACAATCGTCGAAATTCACCTGTCAAATTTGTAAAGATGTCGCGGTATTGCACGTCTAGGCTCAGTTGACAATACCCATCAAGCCATGCATTGATTGAATACACCCACTTTCGTGAAGTTTTATGTTCAACTTTGACACATACAAGCTATATTAAAAATACAACGATACACAAAATACAGGAAAGGGGCAAAATATGAAAGAAATAAAAGTATGCAAAATAAAACTCACAATCTAAATCTGCAACGTGCGAAAGATATTTATAAACGTGCAGATGAGCTTGCAAGAAATGTATTGAAGTACTTAGTTTCTTTTGTTATCTATTATGACATCAGACTCTGACTTCTTTTGAATTGAGTTTTACTGTGCGTATTGCTGGGTGTTTGTTTTTTCTACATTGGCTAGAGGTATATATTTTTGCGCCAGTCCCAAGTCAGGAGCCTCTGGCCTTTGTTAGTCTTGTATGATTTTTAATTTTAGTTCATTTATTAGGTCTTTCCACTTTTCTGTGGAAAGAGCTATTGGTTTTGTTCTAATTATTATTAGGTCTTTCCACTTTTCTGTGGAAATACCTATTGTATTTGTTCTGATTATTATTTTTATTAGGTCTTTCCACTTTTCTGTGGAAAGACCTATTGGTTTTCTTCTGATTATAAGGTCTTTCCACTTTTCTGTGGAAAGACCTATTGGTTTTCTTCTGATTATTATTTTTTTCTTCTTCCACCACTTTTTTCTGACGGTGCTTTTTTGTTTCGCAAGATGTCGCTTAGATTTTTTGCATATGATATCGAACAGTTATTAAGATTTTGAAACTGACCCTGTTAAGCCGAACACTTTTTATTGTAAGAGTTATCTCCCCAAACACTGTTTTTCTTGTGTACAAATCTCCTTCGCAACCGTAAAAGATTATGACAAATTTATGTCACCAATTTTTTCGTTATATCCTCAGGATCTTAAGAATAATTTTGACCAAAGCGGTTCGGAAACTCCATATGAGAGTTATTTCCCCTTCTGTATTTAAAATAAGTAAAATGTAATTGTAATTGGTAAACCATAAGTAATAGGGACCTAGGATCTTTTGATTTCAGGTCCTAGGTCCAAAAAAAAAGAAAATAAGGTCAAAGGTCAAGGTCATTTTTAAATTTGGATTTTGGCTTATTTTCACCTCTTTTCCAACACCATATAAGATATCGACAACAAATGTTTACTTAATTGTTAGTTTCGACATGTCGTAACACATACATATCGGTTTAAAGGGTACGCTTACATCAAATTAGAGTTTTTACCCCTCTTTTATTTAAAAATATGCATATGGTGATATAGCTCATGAACCAAATATAATTTAGACCTAGGGTCTTATGATTTGAAGTCCTTGGTTGATGACCTTGAAATTGAGCTCAAGGTCATAGGTTAAATTGACGTTCTAGATTTTGACCTTTGCTTTTACCTCATATGTATACATGATAAATCCATGGGACTTTTTTTTTGCATTAGGTTTCAAGCCATTTAACCTTAGAAAAGCCAACTGGAAGTGACCTTGTGTAAACCGGAAGTTGCTTCTTTTGTACTTAATTGATGTAAAAGTTTATAGAACCAGATATTTTTGGTATCAGTGTCAATTAAACGTTTGAATAATACCGGAAGAAACATTTTTCAAACCGGAAGTAACAAATTATCTCCCTTATTTGAAAAATATTGTATAGAAACAATATATTTTTGGAATGAGCGTACAATAAGCTATCATTTGACGCTGAAAATGACATTTTAAACCAATTTTACTATTTTCATATTAAAATACATGTTTTTTTGTGGAAAGACCTTCAATTGTTCTCTGAACAATTGGTTTTTAATTATAATTTTTTTCTTCTTCCGCCACTTTTTTCTGACGGTGCTTTTTTGTTTCGCAAGATGTCGCTTAGATTTTTTGCATATGATATCGAACAGTTATTAAGATTTTGAAACTGACCCTGTTAAGCCGAACACTTTTTATTGTAAGAGTTATCTCCCCAAACACTGTTTTTCTTGTGTACAAATCTCCTTCGCAACCGTAAAAGATTATGACAAATTTATGTCACCAATTTTTTCGTTATATCCTCAGGATCTTAAGAATAATTTTGACCAAAGCGGTTCGGAAACTCCATGTGAGAGTTATTTCCCCTTCTGTATTTAAAATAAGTAAAATGTAATTGTAATTGGTAAACCATAAGTAATAGGGACCTAGGATCTTTTGATTTCAGGTCCTAGGTCCAAAAAAAAAAGAAAATAAGGTCAAAGGTCAAGGTCATTTTTAAATTTGGATTTTGGCTTATTTTCACCTCTTTTCCAACACCATATAAGATATCGACAACAAATGTTTACTTAATTTTTAGTTTCGACATGTCGTAACACATACATATCGGTTTAAAGGGTACGCTTACATCAAATTAGAGTTTTTACCCCTCTTTTATTTAAAAATATGCATATGGTGATATAGCTCATGAACCAAATATAATTTAGACCTAGGGTCTTATGATTTGAGGTCCTTGGTTGATGACCTTGAAATTGAGCTCAAGGTCATAGGTTAAATTGACGTTCTAGATTTTGACCTTTGCTTTTACCTCATATGTATACATGATAAATCCATGGGACCTTTTTTTTGCATTAGGTTTCAAGCCATTTAACCTTAGAAAAGCCAACCGGAAGTGACCTTGTGTAAACCGGAAGTTGCTTCTTTTGTACTTAATTGATGTAAAAGTTTATAGAACCAGATATTTTTGGTATCAGTGTCAATTAAACGTTTAAATAATACCGGAAGAAACATTTTTCAAACCGGAAGTAACAAATTATCTCCCTTATTTGAAAAATATTGTATAGAAACAATATATTTTTGGAATGAGCGTACAATAAGCTATCATTTGACGCTGAAAACGACATTTTAAACCAATTTTACTATTTTCATATTAAAATACATGTTTTTTTGTGGAAAGACCTTCAATTGTGTTCTGAACAATTGGTTTTTAATTATAATTTTTTTCTTCTTCCACCACTTTTTTCTGACGGTGCTTTTTTGTTTCGCAAGATGTCGCTTAGATTTTTTGCATATGATATCGAACAGTTATTACGATGTTGA